ATATGATCGTCTGCCAACTTAACATAATTATTTATTTCATTTGCTATGTTTATTATTCCTCTTATTTAGTTAAGGAGGGTAGTTATTTTTAATTGGTAATTGCTTGTTAAGTAAGTTAGGTCTTTAGTGTGTGTGGGACTCTATTTATTGTTGATCGCTTCTCTTAGAAGATCGGTTGTTGATCAAAGAATACAAAAAATTTGAGATTTCATTCTCTACTTCCCTTTCGTCTATCACGCTCTACATCAGTTGGTATCAGAGCCAGCCCATGTGCCAGCGGTGACCGCTGGGCCCACAAGGGGGTGGATGATGCAGCGCATCCCACATCGGGTTTGAAAGGAAACGAATCAGGCCTTATATGAGGATGTGGATACCTTCACTAGTAAGACGCATTTTGGTGGGTGTGTATTGAAGCCCAACCAAGAACAAAGCCGTGCGGGTGGCGGAAATAGCCCAAAACGGACAATATCTTACTAGGGTCTGCATCAAAGCTCCACATAACATCAAAGATGTAAAGGACTTTGAATAAAAATATGAAATATACAAACTTAAGACTAAGAGTTTAATAGTTGCTTAGTTGGTATTATTATTAACTTATCTATAGATATGTTTTTGTAAAGCATGACATTTAATCATAAAAGTTTTAGTTAAAAAGTATCTCTTTTATTGTTTAATTTACTGAGCACAAAATAAAAATGTGAAGGATTAACATATTATTTTTATTATAATTGTTTATACATAGATTAAAAAAGTTTTAGAAATGTTTGAAAACTTAACTACCTAATGAAATATTTTATTTCAAAACAATGTAGATATTATAATCATATAATATATTTGCTATGTTTATGGTTTGTAAATATCATAACATTTCAATTTTTTTTTTTTTTTTTCTAATTGACCATAGTTTTCGGGTATTCCTATAAACTAGTACAACACCCGTGTATTACACGGGTGCTTGCTAATTTTTTTTCTTATAATCTAAAATTAGTGAGAAAAAATTAATTGGAATTTTAAATATATTTTACAAAAACATATATATTATTATATATTTAGTATGACACTTTTTATTTGTGCGACTTATCTGTGTCATATTATAATAATTTTTTAACTTACAACATATTACTACATTAAAAATAAATATATCAATTGATAAATAAATTTATTTTTCTAATGAATTTTAATAAATATTATTATCTTTGTTATTGTAAAGATAAATATAATTTATTTATTTCCTATATACAATATGGATGTCAAATCGAAGATCATCAAAAGATGATTAATTTGATATATAATATATGTAAAACCGATAAGAAATATAAAAGTTATCAACTTTTAAAATACATTTACAATTTAATAGCTAATTGAAGGAAACAAATCAAAGTCAGGGATATATTAGTCACTTAATGCTAACTATATAAAATTACAAATAATTAAAGGGTTATATTAGTACAAATGATATTAAAATACCTAAGTTAGATAAATAATATTTATGGAATGTCCGAACCTAGTTATTATTTATTAATATATCAATATTATTTGTCCAAACCTAATTACGAAGCATGATTCTTCGCCAAGTAGGATTACGAAGCACCAGAATCATCCACGTAGGCTCAGCGCATTCGGGAATTATATATAGGGAGGGATTTAAAATTATTTAAATTAAGGAGTACTTTGAATTTTTCTTTTTTAGTTTAGTAAAGTGATTCTAAATTTTTGGAAAGATGGATTTGGATATGATAATTGTTAAATTGGAAAAAAAAAATATTTTCAACATCTTAACTCTAAAGAAATTGAAATTTAAATGTAAAAATAAAAAGAAAAAAGACATAATATTGAAAAGGAAAAAAATAATATATGAAAGAAAAAAAATTGTCATGCTTCATGGGAAGAATTTAAAATAGATACTCGGCAATTTATTGACTTACCATTGTTAATAGTTCTAGATTCCTATTTAAGGATATTAAAATTAAATAAAACTAATACACACAAAAAAGGAAACGAAATTTAAATATGGATATAAAGATAAGATGGAATGCATATCTATTAAAATAGATAATTTATGTTACTTTCAAAAATTCTGATTTTTTTTTAAAAAAAAAATCATGGGGTGGAACTGTCCAAAAATGTCAAAAAACATTTTCACAAGTAGTAAAAACCAAAAATGTAAGTGAGAATTGTCATGTTATTTTTGTGTTTTTCTTATTGCTATTATATAATAATAGATAAAATTTATGTCACTTTTAAAAATTCTAAAAATTTCTAAAAAAAAAAAAAATCATGGGCGGGAATTGCTCAAGAATTTTAAAAAATATGTCCATAGGTAGTAAATCAATTTTGAAATCGTTTAACAAATTATATAAAACTATATGATTAAATCAGCGTTTGAAAACACGTATAGCATAATGCATCGCTTTTTTTTGCCTTTATATTGCGTAAGGTATAGCGTGGGTAATTCGAGTACGTCATATCTAAATAAAAAATAAAATATGTATATTTATAAACCAAATACCTAATAAAATAAATTAACTTAATTACTCCCCAATCACAAAATTAATACTAATATAATCAGCTACATTCATTAAGTGTGTATTCAATAAATTTAGTCTTCTTTTTTCTTTTTCTTTTGACTTGTCCAATCCTCTTTTCCACCATGGCCCACCCCACTCCCTCTTATATAAATTTGCACTAATCATCCATCCATCTCGAAATCCATGTGGCGCTGCACTCCTCCTCCTGCAGCTTAAGCGAGATGCCATGGACGGGTCATCTCTCTTCGTTTCTCTCTCCTCTATTTTAGCTTTGCAAATAATGTAAATATTTGAGCAATTGAG